CAGGAAGTCGACTCAATGCGCAGCTCATATTACAGTGACCTTTGCAGCAAGTTCATGATAGAGAACACCATTCTCAAGATGGAATACGCCGAGGTCAGGGTCTTCAGCCTCTGTGACAAGGTCAGCCATCTTTGTTTGTGTGTAGGGGGGGTGTGTGTATGCTTTATCCCCCATTGGCCCCCCATTTTGTACAGTAAACTAAACCTTACTCTGCGTCAGAGCCTGTCAACCCTGTGCCACCTGGACCAGCTGCTATTGGTCACCCACATCAACCTGTCATCCAATCAGCTGCTGAGGCTGCCTCCTCAGTTTGCTATGCTGCAGTGTCTCGAGGTAGCAGCCGACCTCCTTAATGTGTCTCCGCGGATGTTTGGATGAGAACTCAGTCCCTCTTGCAATTTCCACGGCCTCCCTCCGTCTCTCTCAGGTCCTGCAAGCCGACAACAACATCATCGAAGACCTGGAAGGACTACGCCACCTACCCAGATTGGAAGAGGTGTCGCTGAGGAACAACCGTATCCTTCAATGCCCCCCTAACCCCCACCCAGAACTGGCTACAGTCTGCCCACACGGTTCTCTTTGCCCAACTTATCTGTGGACTGATTTGTTCTGTGTAAATTGGGCTTTTGAAGTCGAAATCTTCATGTCTGACATCTAATTGACCAATGAAAAGATGTTTTACGTCATCTCTCTAGTAGGGTTGCTTGTATGGATTACTTCATATTGCTACGAACAACTAATTTAACAAATTAACATTGATAGACAGCTAGTTAACTAACATCATTGCTGATTGTGACTATAAAGTGAGATTAGTTTAGACACTGGTGTATTTGTCTCTATGACAACAATCCACATTAGTCCATTTAACACGTAATACTGTTCATTGACGGCTGTGCGAAGGTAAGTTTGTATTTAAGGTGCTCCGGGTGTCTTATTTTATTTTGAGTTAATTTTGTAAAGTCGTTTACAAAAAAAGAAAATCTGCTTTTTTCACATTCCTGAAATACTGGATTTTTGGAGATGCGTGTTTCTCATTGGAGAGCGACAGCGTGCACTGCAGTAATATATTAGTAACCTTTTCCTTTGTAAGACTCGCCGTATCTCATGCAGTCACTCTGATGCTTTTTCCGAGTTACGGGCAGCTTCCTTGACTCCAGCAGGTCTCTCTCGCCTTTCGGACCTGCGGCCGCTGACCACGTGTCCCAAGCTGACCCGCCTCGATCTCCGCGGCAACCCCATCGCCCAGGCCACCAGCATCCGGTCTGAGCTGGCTGACATGTTGCCATCGGCCACCGACCTTCTGCTCTGAGAGAGAGAGGACACTGACCTTCACACTTAGACATGGGGGGGTGGGGGTGTTTTTAGATGTATATGTGCTGTGGCCTCGTCTGCTTGCCCACTCAGTAAAGGTGGGGAATCCTCAGGCTTTGTGTATGATGACGTCACCGGACCTGCTTGTAATCCCAGTCCAGAGCTGCATGTTTCCTCCTTGCAGAAAGGGGGCGCATCGCTTTCATGTCTGTGTATGTTTTCCTTCACTTTCATGTAATGTGCAACATATGAACCACTGAGGTATTACTGCCCCACCTGCCCCCATCTTGTGCAAGGAGTCTGAGGGTAGAGGGTGTGGGGGAATCTGAAGGAAGATACCACTAAGATTACATTGTATCAATAAACCAAATGTTTTATTACATCTTTGCATCTCAGGTCATTGTTGGTGTTTGTTGTTTTTTACACTACTTTGCACTGGCTGTAATTGCGGTGCCTGGCCAGCAGAGGGCAGCCAGGGGGCTTGTCTTGTCCTGGAAAGCCGTCTTTTTTTTTTTTTTTGCTTGTTTTGACGGATTGCAAGGGTTGCAGGTTTTGATGTTTTGCAATATGCCGTAGCTCCACTCCTCTGCCACCTTTTCTCCTCCTGTTTGTCCTGTTTGTCTCATGCCATTGAGACTTTATTGAGCCTACCAGACAATTTGTGGAAGGTCACGCAGTGTGTGCACAACTCTAACCCTAGATTTTGTTCTCATTGAGTGATTGACCCTGAAGAACAATGACAAAATGGTATTCTGATGTATCACTTGATTGTGTGTAAAGTAAAGGGGGGTGGGGTACAAAGTAATTTTTGTTTTTTCTTTCCTACGTAACCCCATAAAAATCTCCAGTCACACAGAAATACAGTATATTTAATTTCCGGATTAAACCTGGATTTTCAACTCAAGTTGGCAGTCCAGATACAGCGACTTTGCTCTTGCAAAATCTCAAGCAGCTACTTGGAGACTAATGAAAAAATAAATGTTCCATTTTGGGAGTAGATTCTTTATATTCACCTTAATAAGCAATTGCTTGTTTCGAGCGCTGGGTATCTACAGCTATGTATAATCCATGTTTTAATTGAATAAGTAAATGATATTTAAAATGATAAAAGTGAAACATTGGCTCTGATTTTCAGCTTTTATGGGCATTCCAGTTGTTGTCTCACCACTTCTGTTATGGCTAAAGAACTACATGTTTGATCTTCAGAGTCAGAATCAAAATCGCTATATTTGGCATGTACAAAAAAATACAAGAAATTTGTTTTGGTGGAAGCGCGGGTATACAATTGATAAATAAATGCACAAATATGCAGATACACAAAACTATAATTGAAATAAATGCAGAGATACAGATGGGGAATAATAAGGTGTGCTATAAATAAATAAACAGACATGGTTTTAGAGTCATAGAAAAACACGCCTTAAAAACAATAAAAGTAAAAAGGATCACGCCTGCTCCATTAATCCCATAGACGAAGTATTTCTATGGGTGTCAAACTGAATCACACGTTATGGGAGGGGAAGGACTTATTGAGCCCAATAATTCATGCGCTTGGGTGAGGGATGGGGTGAGTGAAGCAAACAAACAGCCATTTCAGCATCAACCCAGCAGGACACACAGGAAAACAAAGCAGGTATCTGGGTTTGGGAAACTTAAAGTAGCATGGATGTGGGTGCAAGAGGAGGAAATGGGACTCGATCTTTGGGGATGATTGGAGATGACATGGGGAACATGCACCAAAGGAGTGATGTTTTATGTCTGCCGCTGGGTCTCCGATCCCCCCCCTTTATTTTAGGCTTTACTCTCCCTGGACTCTATAGCTGTTGCATATTATTACACGATACGCCCTTCATGTTTACTGCAACTTATTGCTCCTTGCTTAGATAAGACTTCGCAATTAAAGGGATCTACCATTAAACAGGCATCAAATCACACATAGGCACCCAGTAATGTGAATGATAAAAATTAAGTGTTAGTTCGATGGTTTCACAAGAACCACTAATCACTGGTAACCAGGTGCTACTGGTGTTTGCCAAATAACATAAGTATCTTTCGAAGGCCTGGTACTGTTCGTCAGAGGGGGGATTTTGACTGCATGGAAACAGTAAGGAAGGAATGGTGGCTATAGGTGTGTCAGGGATGAGTGACGCAGACAGGAGCCGCCGAATTGTTGGATAAGAGGCGGCGGTAATGATGCCACCAAACAAGCTAAAGTGTTATGGATGTATGGGTGGGGAGTGGGGGTGCATAGGTACACAGAAGCTCCAAGAGATAATTACACAGGCTTGTGTTGGGACAGGACTGGTGAGAACCCACACATACCCTGAAGTATACACATATAACGTAAATTGTCATCACTGAGTACAAAGTTGCTAAGCGTTCAAGTTGAAACAGTCGGCGATTATAGTGATTAACCTCGTGAGTCACTGAAGAGGTATGTGCCAGTTATCTGTGCTGGATTTCAGTATATAGCTCCTTACGTACTCTGATTAACGGCGGATGGAGTACATGAGGTGCCGTTCTGTGATTTGTGATTGTCAAGGCTGCTAATCACCCGCATGGATGTGTGAGAAAGAGGATCCAGTGGTTCCAGTGGTGTTTGCTTATTGTCGCTGAGGAGGGCATTGGGCCTGGGGGGCTAACGCACAGAAGCTGCAGGACTTACCAGGGGTGAATGTCATCAGGGGGTCAGGAGGGTCAGGAGGGTGAGAACAGGCGGGCAGGAGGTCCCATTACAGATGGAGCTTTTACTATGGTGCGAGAGTCAGACCCCCCAGTGTGACACAGGTTAAGCTATAACTGCCTCTTCCTGCCCCATTGTGACTGAGCTGTCGCTGACCCAATGTTAGCAAACGGGGCAATTGTAGACCACGGTGAAAAGCAAGAAATAATTATATCTTTCAACCACAGGACAGTAGATCAACATGGAGGCCAAGCCACCTGCCAATCAAAGCAGGCACCCCCCCCCACCCCACCAAAATCATAATCAGAAATTATTGCATTTTCTTTAAATGTAGACGGTTTATTCTGGATTTTGGGGGATTTCTCCATTTTGTTGATAACTCATCTCCAGCATACATTTATGTAATCTTACACCAGGAGAGCAATGATATGTTTCATTAAGTAGTATTAACTGCCCATGTACTATTTAATACGCTAATAAATAAATTACATTGGCTCAACAAGAATTACATTCATGTGGCTTCTGTCCTTTTACTTGCCATTATTATGCTGCCCTTGACATCAGCAGGTACTGTCACTTGCTCAAGACCTCCTGAGCCCTGGGTTTGAATTTGTCCCCTTTATTTCCTCTACCTGGTTCCCTTCCTTCTACTGTCTGCAGTCTTTTATTGCCTGTATTTGAGTTTTTTTTGTTTTGCAATTGACAGGAATTCCCTCTGAGCAATACAACCCCCCCACTAATCAAACTCTTTCCTACGTTTTTGGTACTCTAATAATAAATCTGATCAACTACTACAACTAGGGAGTTTTAGCCTTTGGAATCTCCCCCAGAATTCTGCTAAGAATTATCCCTGTATCCAGTCTGAAATATAAACACATGTTAACACACATTCCCTTTCGCAATAGCTACTTGTGAAAGTCATAGTTGACAATATGGAATGGGGCGTAGCTATTTATAATCATAATTGAAACACTCCTGTCAGTGTGTGTGTGTGTGTGTGTGTGTGAGAGAGAGAGAGAGAGCGAGAGAGAGGAAGGGAAAGGAGAAAGACTTTCTGATCTATCACTTTGACTTCTCCTCCGTGTCACTAACCAGGACCACGCCACAGAGAAACCGAAAGACGCCACAAAGTAAGACCTCAAATTATCATGTGCGATGCAATTTGTGACGAGTCACTGCATGAGCTTCTGAATATATGCCAATAGTCGCAAGTGAACACTGAGGTGAAAGAACTGTATGTAAAATAAATGAATCAAAGTTACATTTTATTTTCAATCACTCACTGTGAGTTGTTAGTAATGTTTTACTCATGTAGCGTCTGTTGCTCTGCTGCTTCTTTTGGCCATTTTCAGGTTCAGTTTTCAGGTTCCGTTTGATTTGACATTGTCACTCTTTCTAGTACAAACACTATTATTCTGCTGATTCACAGCTCAAGTAAGTAATGGTGTATTTTTTGGATGCTGAAGTCAGGTAACAGACAAGTATAGAACTGAATCACCTTTCAGCTCAAAAGTAGGGAAAAGCTGTGTTTGTTCTAAGAGAGGCCATGGTCTTTACAGTTGAGATAATCAGTTATTTTATATTTCAATGCCAGCTAAGATCAGCCCCTTTTGGATTATTTGACTCAATTCAGTCATGCAGGACCTCAGCAGCAAACCCAAGCCAATCAAAAAGACTCTTAACAATCTTTTCAAGACACAGTGGGATCATTTTGAGCGCTGTGGCCAGGGCTGGTTCTAGCTGTAGACAGAACATGTCTAGGTGGCCTAGGGCCATTGCATTACCTGTGTTGTAGAGGAAGTGAAATTAAGCATAAATTTTCTTGGTAGGGGTACCTCCCAAGTAAAGCTTTGCCTGGGTCCTCTGTCTGTAGAGCCTGGTAGAGCCAGCCCAACCTGTAGAGCCTTGTAGAGCCAGCCCTGCCTGTAGATCCGAAGTTCAGCATGCTAAACTGCTACTGTAGCAGACTCTCATTCTATGGGTATGGTCATCCAACAGTCCCAGAAGTCATCTTCGCCCAGTTGTTATTGGACCGGACCAGCGATTAGGCCTAAAAGCTTGAATTCATTAATGCTATTCACATTGGTCTGATGCTCGGTTCCTCGCTACAAAGTGTTTTTCACAATGAAACCCTGGATTAATTCAGAAGAGGCAGCAGAAAGTAGCACAGTATACTGTATGTGGGCCTCGAGGCTGCTGGTTGAAGTGAAGCTTTGTTCGTAGATGCTCAGGTAAGTAAACAATTTCAATGATATAGTCAACGGAGAAAGCGATCCACTCGATGTCTAAGGTAGGATGAGGTTAGGTAGGTGATCCTGGAAGAGCTGCATTTTAGGGCATTACTTGCTTATTTATTCATGTGAAATTTCCTATCCAGTGAAACACAGAGGGTCATAGAGTGAAAATGCACAGTAAGATGAGAGGTTGACGGCATAGGAGATGGTATGATTTTGGGGGGGACATGTCCTTAGCTGGTCCCCTCCCTTGCTTTGTGTATCCTCCATACTGCAGCACTCCTTGTTAAACTTGCGCAATGGCCAGTACTGTCTAGGACCACTGCAAACTGGTTTTGGGCCTCTCACATTCCAGCCAGGACACACCTCTCTTATTCTTGGCTTACCAGTAGACAGCAAGTGTCATCCACCTCATCCAGCTCACGGTGTGTTCATCAGATGACAAGACATCTCAAAAATAAAGAAAAGACTCAATGTTTCTGGAAGAATCTGGGTGCATTGCAGGAGGGAAAACAGCAGAGTTGCAGAAACGCTATGGCAACTTCTCTAGTCGATACCAGCTTTTGTGTTTTTGTGTACCAGTTCCCCTTGACCAAGCCCTTACTTTCATCGATTTTCATTACCTATGCTCATTAGCCTTTGCCAAATTTACCGTAACTCCCTTATTAACTCCCTTAATCTTTTTACTTTCATTCTTTCTTATGCCAGTTTGATCTTATTCTATCCTCTTGCTTTTTCCACAGTGACAGTGGGGCCTTGTGTGTGTTTTTAATTTTCTTTTTATCGCGAGCACTTTGTTGTGTAGAAACAGTCAAAGTCAAAGATATTTTATTGTCAGTTCACATTATATGTGCAAGACATACAGGAGAACCGAAATGCCGTTTCTCGCTCACTGTCGTGCAGACCGTCCAATTACAAAATTATGGACATTCTATACAAAAAGACAGATAACAAGACACAGGACAGACAGCGGAGGCAGATCAGCAATTTCTGAACCTAGAGCGAAACGTCTCTCAATCCCACAATAAAAGTAACTGGAGGGAGTCCTGCCCAGTAGAGTTAAACTGCAGAGGGTTGAGAACGTTAAGGTTTTGGCAGGTAATTGGTTGGGGGGAGGGGGGGATTAAGATATGGTAGATAGGAGAGAGACAGATTGAACGGCAGAAAAGAAGAGAAGACAAAAAAATGCATTGTAAGGTTAGGAGAACTTTTTCATTGCTAGTCTTAGGCAAAGAACCTTGGTATTCATCTTTGTATCATTTTCATTCTGTTTTATTTGTAATAGAGGTAAAATTGTAATTGTTATTTAACTGTAATATCTAACAGAATTAACTGACTAAACACACAAGCAATCATTTCCCGTAGCTCATATCCTCTTTCAGGAGTGTTTTATCCACTGTTTTATTTTTCACAGAACTTGGCTTAATTTGCCTCAAATGTGTGTGGTCTCTTGCACGTACAGAATCTCAGATTCTCCTGTCTAATATTTTGGAAAGACGCTATATCCATGTTCCTCAAACATGTTCAGGTCTACAGGTAGCTCTCGCTGTCAGTCTGTCTGTCAGCTGGTTTAGGTTTGAATCAAATATGGCATTTTGGTTGATACCTAATAGCTCCATCTTGGAGTGGGAATCTCCTGAGAATGGGCAGGTGCTGTTTGCTAACAGGTTCTATTCTGAGAGTAAAGACGCCATCTTGGTTCAGGTCCCACACGCTCCATTGCCTCTGATTAACCTCTGTAGTGGTGAACTTAGAACCAACATAGCACCTGTAACCCACGTCTCTCCCCCCACACTGAGAGATGTCGCGTTTTCCTTTGGCTGGCATTCTCTGTCTGCGGGTGATGTAGCAGAACTGTTCTAACAGTTGAGATCACAGTACTATATTATCTGTTTGTTTTTCTGGTTTATATACTGAATTAGTCTTGCTTCTTTTGATTCTCTGAAGGTTTCAGGCAGTGTTTGACTTGAGGAAGACATGGATAGTCTCAGAGAGGGTTGGTGCTAGATATTTCAGGCCCCATGAAAGAATATCATATTGCGCTGCCAAATCAGACCAATCCAATAAATAAAATAAAAAAGGTCCCTGTTACTCAGGGGTCCTTGTAATCATCTTTTCACCCCTTTTATAGCCTCCATGGTCCCAGGACCACCCATAAGAGATCAGGGATCCTCCCTCCACACATGAGGGATCAAGGACAGGCCACTCCACCACATACACAAAAAAAAAAACTTAACCCCCAGCCCCCTGGTTGACAACTTTTACCATTACCACTACCATCCAGCAAGGAATACCCCCCAAGACTTTGACACAGTTCAAACTTGTGCCAGGCTTGACACCAAACCTACAGCATCCAACAAATAGGGGACTTTCTGTCTGCCATTGTCTTATCTGCGCTCCTCTTCCTCCAAGATGCCACGAGAGATCCGGAGTCGATCAGCTGTGGGCCGGTTCCCCGCCGTCACCCTGGACCTGGCTGAAGATGTGGAGCCAGATGAGGAGGAGCTGATCGGGAAGCAGGAGGATGAGTGTAGCTGCCGAGCCTGGCTCCGCAAGCTGTGCTGCTACTGCTACCGAAAGGACAAGCCCATCACGGGGACCAGTGGCACAAGGTCAGGCGGCACAGGGTCTAGCAGCACAGGGACCGGCGGCACAGGGACCAGCAGCACAGGAACTGGTGGCACGGGGACCAGCGGCAAGGGGACCGGTGGCACGGGGTCCGGCGGCACGGGGACTGGCGGCACGGGGTCCGGCGGCATGGGGAACGTTGTCACTGATATGAAGGACAAGTTGGGGCAGCCTGAGGCAGGGAGCACAGACACGGTGCATGGTAATCCCTCAGCATCACATGAGGATCCAACAAGAAGTTAATCTGTACTTGCATCGATCTGTGTTGGTTTGTGTCTAGCAGAGAGACATGTAAAGGAAGACTTTCATTCCGCTGTTGAGCTGACTATTTACTGTGCATGTGACAGATAAACTCTCGAATCTTGAATGAGAAATCATGTCAGCCCATCCCCCCATCCAAATGCTCAGATTTTAAAAGAATAGCACATGTATTCTTATTGAATGTAGATGTGTTCCATCAGTGTACAGACAGCTAAATACCCCTCCATTCATTGCACACTGATTAATACATGAATAAGCAATATTGTATTCGTTCAGACACATAGAGAGTAAAATTTGTTTGATGCTTCCTGGACAGCAAAATGTACTGAGGATGAACCTCTGACCAGGGTGACAAAATTTACCAAGGGGGACCTATTGGAAGGGTTGTCGGACAGAAATTTATTTATGGATACGGGCCGGTATTCCATTATCCAATATAAGACATACATTTTCCAGCAAAATCATTCAAATTTTGAATGAAATGGACAGGGACTCATTGATCTGCAAAGCAGACATGGTCATTTTGAGATCAACACCATTATATAACAATGCAAGGGTTGAACACTAATCAACTGATTACTATGGATCTGCTGTGGTCGTCCTTAGAAACGTCATTGAACTAACTTCTTGAGACCTTTCACTGTTCTTCTCACAGAACAAACTTTGACTGTGAAGGCAGTGGACCTGATGAAAAGCAGGACCGGCCAGAACCGGAAGGATCACTACACCAACTGTTACCATGGCAACAATCTCATCATCCGGCGTGGGCAGATCTTCCAAATGTGGATCAAGCTCACGCGCTCTTTCAACGCCAGTGCAGACCAGCTTCATCTGGAGCTAAAATTAGGTCAGTAAATCATCAAAAGTCATCATTCTTCCAGTCATCGAAAGTCATGGCACCAAATCAATAGGTCAAGTGATAGATTTAATTGTCACATGAAAGTATGATGTCAAGACTTGTGTCTGTGTCATAAGAATGAGCAGTAGTATTAACTGATACATAAAATGGATGGATAGATGAATGGACATATGTTCGATAACCTTACATTCTGCTTATGCAGCATTTAGCATGTTTTATTAGAAGCTTTGTTCTTTCTGATGTGAATGTGTGCATACATGCAATTTTAAACAGGGTAAGTGCATGGATGTGTGTGATTTAGTTTTGAACAGCTCGACATTTGAGGAGCAAAATGTCTGTAACTCACTCAATCCATTTTTTGGTGTTTTTGAGATGAGATGGCAAGTGACTTATAGTCAGGCTTCCTTATCATATGTAATATTACAGGATCTGGAACCAGAACTCACCCAATCTCACTCTCCCTTTATTCTTCACCACTACATTTTTATTCTTCCATCCAATCCCTTCCTATGACCAATCAGTATAAGTAGTATTGACACTGACTTACAGGTATGTTCTTGGATACCTTGTGTTGTAGGATCCCTGCCGCAGGTGTCCAAAAATACACACGTCATCATTCCCTTGGTGAAAGAGCTACAGGGCAACCAGTGGGAGGCCAAAATCGTGGAACAGAAAGGCCAGAAGATCAGGTTGTCTGTCAACTCACCGCCTACTGCTCTGATTGGCCAATACCAACTCACTGTGGTGACACAGAGTTCAGAGGGCATGGCACATTCAACATACGACCCCAGCAATGACATCTATATGCTTTTCAACCCCTGGTGTGAAGGTAAAAGACACAAATTAAACACAAAATTTGCTAGCTTGAATGTCTGTCAGAAGAACGTTAGTAGAATGTTTATGACAGCGTTCCTCAACACATTTAGGGGTTGGCTCAGCTTTCAGAGACCAGCAGATGGTGGCTAAAATCAGTTCTCAGAGGTTTATAGGCTTCCTTTATGTAGCCTGGATTTCATGAATCGATTAAAGCAATCTTAGTTGATAGCAAGCTATAAGCACTAATCAAAATGTCAATTTGTCAATAAGTGGAAAATCAAAAGAGGTGAACTGATATTCATCAATGGAAATAACATAATTGCAAAAATCTGCTCTAGCCAATAAGATTCCTTCATGTCTTTAGTATCTTTGTGCAATGTTTAGTGGAATGATGATCGCTTAAATGGACATCGCTGTGAAGTGACCCATTTGCTTTTAATGAGATGCAGCAGATTTTACAACGGTTGGACTTGACCCCTCACTGATAACCATATTAAGCCCACTTGGAGAATGCCACAAATTTGCCGCTACATGCTTTCATCTTCTTTAAAACGGCTCCTTTTCTTTAACCCTGAGTCCTATGTGTGCTCTTCCTGTCTCAGGTGACACAGTTTACATGGAAGATGAAAATGAGAAGAAGGAATATGTCCTGCACGATGTCGGCAGACTATACTTTGGCACCGAGTCCCAGATAAACTCTCGAACATGGAACTTTGGCCAGGTACAGGATGCCACTTTGAAAATGTTTATCTCTGGGTTACAGGGCAAAATATCTGAAAACAAACACTAATTGAGCTTTAACCAATCAATTCATTTAGTTCGATGAGGGAATTCTACAAGCCTGTCTGTTTCTGCTGGACAAGAGTAAGATGCCCATTTCTGGTCGTGGAGATGCTGTCAACGTGGTACGAGTTGTATCTGCTTTGGTGAGTCTGTAGTTCCATGCATTATTGCTGTCCTTAATAATGATTCTTCGGCTGGTATCTGTATTCTTGCTTTCATTACTTATCGCCTGTCTTCAGTAATAAGTTACCTGATAAGGTGAAGTGAAATGAGTGAGGCTGGTTGCTGTCAATCATAACCACGTCCTCTCTTCCAGGTCAACTCGATTGATGATGACGGTGTCGTGGAAGGGAACTGGTCTGGCAGCTATGAGGGCGGGACTTCCCCTACAGCCTGGACCGGGAGTGTGGAAATCCTGAAGAAGTATTACGCCGAGAATGGGAAGCCGGTCAAATTCGGCCAGTGCTGGGTCTTCTCCGGAGTCACCACGACAGGCAAGGATGCAGTTTCTGTTCACGAGTTTGAGCTTTCAGCTGTGCTAGTGCATCTGTGGGCATCTGTATATTGTCTGACCCCATCCACTATGTGCACTAAAACAAACAAACGTGCTTTATTTGCCATTTGTACAAGTACAGGTACATTGGAATGCTTCTTTTTGCCTACCTCATCTTGCTCTGTATAGCTTGGGGGTCACAGCACAGGGTCAGCTAATGTGCAGTGTCCCTGGAGCTGGGGGTTAAAGGCCTTGCTGTAAGGCCCACGGACAAGGGACTGTTCTGCCGAGGCCGGGGCTCGAACTGGCGATCTAATCACAGGCACTGAGACTTAGCCCATTGAGCCACTCACCGCCCCAATAGGGCCACTATAGGGCCAAATGTCTGTGCACACCCAAATGAATTAGAGGAATTGCCGAGTTCAGCCAAACTCATTGTTGACACGTGTATAATTAAGAAGACAGTCACACGATTTCCTGCAGCACTCTTTAGCAGCAGTATGGGGGGTTTACAGAACAGGTTAGTGACACTCTATTTGGCACCATCATAGGACACCATCTTTCCAGCCAGTCAGTTCACCACCTTTCTGCCCTGCTACAGCTGCCCTGGTCAACCACAAGTAAAGGGAGTGTGAAGGTCAAAATGCCTGGGAACAAGTTATTGTGAAGTGGTCTGCCACACAAGCTCACAGAAAGAGACCCGATCCATCACCCAACATCAATACCTAACTTGAATGGCAGTAACTCCCAGCCAGCAATTATCCAAAATCTTCCCAGAAGGGTATTAATAGAGTCTAATGAACTGGAACAATGCCGGGGTGTCCAACTTGGGATATTGAACAAACTGGTGTCCACATACTTTTGGCTATAAGGCGTGTCTATGAATCTCTATCTCCACATAAAACCAACATTCCATTTATATGTGATTACAAGAGCATAACCTTCCACCATCCTGTCTCAGTGCTAAGGTGTCTGGGCATCCCCGCCCGCAGCGTGACCAACTTCAACTCCGCCCACGACACAGACGTCTCTTTGACGATAGACGTCTATTTAGATGAAAACCTGAAGCCCATCGAGGAACTCAACACCGACTCAGTGTGGTGAGAGCGCTCAGCCCTGTGACATCACATAGTTCTGATTTTACATACTGCATGGAAACGCTACAACAAGGGCGACAGATTGAGCAGTAGTAGTTCTAGCCTATGGTTTAACAGGTCATCAGGATTGTTTTCCTCATTGCAAATGCTTTAGTAAAGCTATACCAGGTGATGAAAGTGAGGAAATACATTATGTAAATCTTAAAAACAATTATGAAACTGCCACATCCAGGTCTGGTTTAAATTGGCAAACTATCACGCAATAGATGCTATACACATATGCTCCCTATCTCCCGTATCTCTCTTTTCATTCATCTTCAGGAACTTTCACGTGTGGAATGATTGCTGGATGGCACGGCCCGACCTGCCCCAGGGGATGGGGGGCTGGCAAGCTGTGGATGCCACCCCTCAGGAGACCAGCCAGGGTACCTACTGTTGTGGTCCTGCTGCCATCACTGCCGTCCGCTTGGGTGAGGTCTACATCAAGTACGACACACCCTTTGTCTTTGCCGAGGTATGTCTGACCCCCCTTCATCCCAGGTGCACTAGCCTCAACTCCAATCTGTCTGTGGATCAGCTGCTAAGACCACTCTTCTCGGTTGAAGGTCAACAGTGACAAGGTCTACTGGCAGAGGAGCGCCGACGGCACCTTCAAGCTGGTCCACATTGAGGAGAATGTGATTGGAAGCTGCATCCTCACGAAGGCCGTGGGCTCTGAAGAGTCCAACGATATCACGCTCCTCTACAAATTCCCACGAGGTAGGTGGGAGCTCGAGGGAGAACAGAGATTAGAGAATGATGCAGCATTCCGGGTTTTGTACAAACGTAGCCTATCAGTCTCAGCCTATCATTTCAATCCTCAACATCTAGCATCGTAAGTGGGAGGAGCCTTGGCATATAGTAGAGATGTAGGATGGGCTTATGATGATCAAGGGAAGGGTTCCACCATGCTGACCCCCTTAATGCCTAGTTCCTCCACGCCTGTCCCCCACTCTCACTCCTCAGGCTCGGACGATCAGCGCATCGCCGTCGAGACTGCCTCCCACTACGGTTCCAAGCCACAGGTGTATTCCGCCCCCCTCGCCAAAGACGTGACCCTGGAGGTCACGGTGAATGGAGAAGGCCCACATATGGGCTCCGATGCCCAGCTGACCATCGTGCTGGGCAACAAGAGTGCGGAACCGAGAAGTACCACCCTCCACATCCAGGCAATGGTCATGTACTACACCGGGGTGGTTAAGGGTACAGTGAAGGAGGACAAAATTCCTGTACAGCTGAAGGCCAATGAAGGTGAGGAGCTTCATCTGCAACATGAGTTCCTAAACTGCCCAGATGCTCAGTGGCAGGATTTCAACTTCTCGATCATTAAACAGCTACCAAATTATCATGTTGGAATTTCCATATTTAATTAAAAATGTCCCATGCCCCTCTGTTTGGCCTCTCAGAGAAAAGCCTGAATTGGGTACTGAAGTACCAGGACTACCAGGGCCAGCTAGTGGACCACGCCGCGTTGATGCTGATGCTCTCAGGCCGGGTTGTTGAGACCAAACAAATTTTGGCAACACAGTACAACTTCAGGCTCCAGACACCGGACCTCAGCATAATAGTGAGCTACAGCTCGTCTCGCATCTCTGAAGCTTTGTTTTTTGGCCACTCTCTATTGTAGTCGTGTTAAATGTAATCACTTTCACTAAACGTCCGCATTTTGGCCTCCCAGCCTGTAGGTGATGCTGTGGTGGGCAAAGAGATGGCCGCTAAGATCGTCTTCACCAACCCGCTACAACAGGCACTGAAGAACGTGACAGTACACGTGGAGGGCCTGGGACTCATGAGTATGCGGCAAAGAGCTATAGGGTAAGGCAGCCTCTCCTGTCCTTCTGGAACCACTCCTGTCCTGAGTGCTGCGATAATGCCCAGCACCAATACTTCCCCCGTCAGTCTATAGTGTAAATAATCATTAATCCTATCTATCTCACCATTACCTCAGCAAAGCACTCCATTGGATCATCTTAAAGGGTACAGTAAATTTATAGCGGAGTAATCACAGCGTTGAGAATCTGAATTTCACCGAAAAGTCCGGCTGGAGCAGGACATAGGCTCAGCTTGAGAATGTCACGCCCCAGATCAGCTTGGCGGCAAAATTTGTTGTCCCAGCCCTGCAAAAAAGTGTGCTTGCTCTCTCTGCAGTGACATAGGCAGCCATGCCACACTCACCCTGACGGAGCGCTTCGTGCCCAGAGAGCACGGACCCAAGAAACTGCTGGCTTCTCTTGACTGCAAACAGCTCACTCAGGCCCAGGGGGAGGCAGATATCGACGTGAAGGAGCCCACTGCTAGCACGGCACAGTAAAACGGCACTGACTCTTCCTGTCATTATAACGTTACTTCTGTTTATAGGATACAGTAACACTGTACATAGCATTATTGAGGCAGACAGATTCAGAGGCAGTGATTTCAGTGGTTCAGACTGTAATATTAGCTACTGCACACCAGCTGTGTGTATACAACCATGAGATACCGGACAGCTACCGGATACCTGAGTCACTGGAAAGCCTTTGGCAGACAACTGGCAGCGAAAATAGTTATATCAAATAACTATTGCTGTATATATTTGGCAGTTAATTGACCAGTTGTATAACTAACTGTATTTCTCTGTTGGTATGCAAGACAATGTTAGTATGCAAAATCAAGTTGGGTATGAGTTTTGGATATCTAGTTTGGGTTGGTTGTTTTTATGCTTAGTCACCGATGGAGACTGTAATGATTGTTTTTTGTTATGTATGTATTTGCTTGTAAACCACTCTCTCTAGGACAGTGCACTGCATAAATGTTTAGTCTTTAAATATTTATATTGCATTTTTTAGGTAACTTTAGTCAAAACTCAAATGCAACCTCACTTTTTAGCTATTTGACTGAGTCAATTATTTGGACAGGGTCCTGCCGAACCTGGAGCTCCTCATGTCCATTGATAGATATGAAAAATACCCAAAGTGTTTCCCCATGTCTGGTCATGCCTAGCAAGGGTGTAGATCTGGGTAGGGTTGGTAGGGACATGTCAACAACTTGCTGGCAAAACTTGACTGATGATGATGACTTGGGTGTACATGGAATGAAACATGACCTAAGGACATGATCACAGACCCACCTGTTGGTATGTGATGCATTTATGAGCTGTGTGTCTCTTTCAGAGAAGGTTTACATGCCACACCAGGTCTAGCTGGTTAGATATTTCATATATCCAAACCAACATACACGTTTCACAATTTGTTTTATGAATTTACATATGCTATTTCAGGTCAATAGCTTTGGCTCAGTAATACCATGTGACCCCTGTCTACAGGCTCCGCTATCTTCTAGCGTGAGACATGATAGCAGAGAAAGCCCTTAATGCACAGCAGACTTTCCGGACCATGATTCCTGAAAGCAGCCAACTATGTTTGTGTAATAGAAGGGAGTTTCTGGTCAGTAACAACAGTGGAGGAATTCCGTTTGATTTACACGTGTAGTTTTATTTAATTAAGTAATAGTGTAGCGCCAGGTTATGCCTAACATGCCTCGCGAGCGCATATATACTGTATATCCCTGCGTATGTCATTATGAATTGCCATTGTATTGTTGTTGTTGTTGTAGTTACTACAATGTAGTAGTTATGGTTAAGACTTGTTTCCGGATTGTGGCGTGTATGTTTACCCGTGTCTTGTGAGCACCCTGTCTGACCTTCGCGTGTATTTAGCTTGTGTTAATTAATCTCCCACCATGTTTGTACCTTGCAGTTTGCAGTCTGACCATGTTGTGTTTCCACTGTTGTATTTGGGTTCGGTGCTCATTGGGTGCCAGTTGTAGTCCTGTAATAAAGAGTGTTCTTCCTGGCAAAAAAAATCTCCTCGTCCTTCATTGCTCTCACAATGCCTCAGCCTGTCCGGCACTACAATATGATAATTAACGTTTACTCCAGCAACCATACACGGTCATAGGTCTGGGAAGACATTTTGAGGTGCTAAAAGTTGGAACAATTGATAAACTTTACTGAAGTTCTTTTGCAGCATCAGTAGCTATCAACAGCTAATAAGATGACTAGCATTTATTATGTACTTGACCTGTTACCATCCGTCCGTGGACAACAGATGTAAAATAGCCATTTTGGCTAATTCTGGCACATTTACATTTTATGTTTATTAATGTGCAATGTCCATGTCAAATAAACCATAAATAAAAAAATAAATAAAAATGAAAACATAGGCTGTTTTTATTTTTTTAAGCTATAGGCATGGACATGCTGCCCTGCAGTATTCTCACACTGCATTATCACCAACATCCAGAGGGGGCGCTGAAGCACCATCAGCACTCCTACTTCCGAGGCTATTGTACACAGTGAGATGAGGACAGACTTGTAACGGGGAGTCAGGTGACCAAGCTTGGCGTACCTGTTGCTGTCCCTCATTCCCAATGTAGCGAATAAAGTGGTTATGTACCATTTCATTTCAGCCACGCGAGCCCATCCCACATTCCATAGCAAGTCTAAGCACTTCCCATTCATCTGGCTGTTCCATTCAGCGCTTGCCAAAAGTGCGGTCTTCATTTTACGTTCACTCAGCACACGCGGTCATTACCCAATCTCATATGCTCACAAGGGGGCGCCATTTCCTCAGACAAAAACCTTCTTCCTTGTCCAGGGATATATCTGCGGCATTATGCTACAGACACATTGTGTGTTGTACAGGATTCTGCATCTACATAGAGTACAATGGAAAGTAATGCAGTATTCATTCGGTTAATTTAGCAGAGATTGCTCTCACACTTGCAGATACTATAAAAATATAATATATAGGTATACAAGAAATATATATCTATTTTCTTTTTGTTGTTATAACAAGAGAATAACTGACAGGCCTGACCAGTTTCCTGAAAAGAATGGGGTGACAAAACGGGTGTATCGCATCAATGACATCACGAAAACAAATGGGGAAAAAATCCTGTTAAATTTCTAAGGTCCCAACTGGTCTTTATCAAGGGGTAAGGAAATGTGTTCAGTAAGATGAGTAAAACTGGATGCAATCATAATCAATGAGCACAGATTAATTAAATGAAAAACACACATTATAAAGTATGGTAGGGCTTATAAAATCTGGGCTAATCCATTAATCCATACTGGCCTCTACTGGATGAAAGTGCTACAGGCTGTAATTTTTCAAATCTGGCAGTAATTTATACATTAAACTGACTTCATTAAACAAGCAAGAATCAGACAACGAAAATACACAAAACAAAAAAAAAAAAAGAAAATCAATCGCTCAAACAAAGATTAAAGGCACCCAATGTGTTATTCATTTAATTTTAAATGAGGATATGAAATGGAGGCCATAATACAGGGATTATAGTCAAAAACACATGAGAGGCTTCCAGCAGAAGATTGAAAAATCCAGCAGGCAGGCAGGGGTCCAGGTTCCCACTTAGACTAGGGCACTTTAGTGAAGTCCAACTATGTCCAGCTCTCCTGAACCATCGCCAGCAGGCCTCTTCTGCCCCCCCACAGACATGGAAACTCCCCCCATCCCGTCTCTTCAAGACTTCCCTTCAGTCCACGCTGTCGCAGATGTTCCTCACCACTCTGTTGAACTCGTCTGGCTGGTCGGCGTAGATGTGGTGAGACGCTCCTTCTATCACCTGAGAGGGATATCAATCAGCATGGAACCATGGTCTCCCACGCGTGTGCTTCACACAAACAGCCCTAAGCACTTCCAGTCAAGACCTGGATGCGTCAGTGCTAGGGATGTGCAGACAATGTATTTGTAACTGTATTTGCTGAGACACTGTATTTGCATCTGTATTTGCTGAGGCACTGTATTTGTATCTGTATTTGCTGAGGCACTGTATTTGTAACTGTATTTGCTGAGGCACTGTATTTGTATTTGCTGAGACACTGTATTTGTAACTGTATTTGCTGAGACACTGTATTTGCATCTGTATGTGAGAAAAACTCTATTTGTATTTGCTGAGACACTGTATTTGTAACTGTATTTGCTGAGACACTGTATTTGTATCTGTATTTGCTGAGGCACTATATTTGTATCTGCATTTGCTGAGGCACTGTATTTGTAACTGTATTTGCTGAGACACTGTATTTGTATCTATTTGCTGAGGCACTGTATTTGTAACTGTATTTGCTGAGACACTGTATTTGCATCTGTATTTGCTGAGGCACTGTATTTGTATTTGCTGAGACACTGTATTTGTAACTGTATTTGCTGAGACACTGTATTTGCATCTGTATTTGCTGAGGCACTGTATTTGTATTTGCTGACACACTGTATTTACACCATCCCCCAACCACAGTCAACGTCCACCCTTCCCCCAGTCTTCCGTCATTAACCTCCCACACTCACGCTCCGACTCCCAGCACGAGTTCTTACCCAACCTTGCCAACAAATTAAGCCCCATCACAGATAACGGCTCCCTGCTAAACCAAACAGACCACAGCACTACGCACAAATGCCAGCTCTCCCTACGATGGCACTCTTGATGGCCCCAAAACCCTTCAACCAGGGGCCACCATGGATAAGGTCACTTTTTTTAAAGGTGCTGGACATAAGAGGGGCCAAACTTCAACTTTATCATTAGCCAATGATGTGCATTAAATAAGTGCGTGACACAGGAAGGGGGCCCTCAGAGAGTCAATCAGAGTTCAGCTGGTGCCCCTAAGGCCCCGCCCCCTGTAAGTGGAAGCTTCCTGACATCCATGCCACCATTTAAACCCCCCACCCGCTTACCACAGTGTAAGTGTGGCTCCGGGGCCTCAGCTGCGCCACCCTGCTTCCCGTGCTGCTGTCCATCCAGGAGCGTGCCCCGTACAGCAGCGTGACTGGGAGCTCTGGGGGGAGAAGGTGGACCCTCTGCAGCATGGGCCTCCTGGCCCAGCCCAGGGACTCCGACATGGCCCTGAAGCCCACCTCCCCACTGGAGGAAAGACCAAAGATGGCATCCTGCATTCAAATGCAACGTCAGGCGAGCGCTGATGAAGAGCCAACACGTGCAGGAAGGTAGACAGAGAAAGTCACATCCCACTTTCAAAAGATGTTCTCTACAGTTTTGAAACTAGTTTGACAATGACACCAAGCTTTAGAACAATGCTAAAAATCACCACTCTTCGTTTGATCAAAGGTGGACACATTATCCTTGGGTGTGGCGACCCCTACAGGTGGACTGTTAGTGTGTCTGCAGGAATTGGGCAAATATGATATTACTTAAGATGCTAGACAGGTTGCAAGCCACAGTTTCCCAGGAGAACCGTGAGCGTGGAGGGCGCCTTGATGGAGTGCGTGAGAAAGGCTTCGGAATGGGCACACAGCACCTCGGCCTCTGTGCATTGCAGTGGTAGATGTACTGCGTCATGGTGTCGTCATCAAACAGGTCCTCGAACTTTCTCTTGAAGTCCGGCCGGAATTTCTGCACCAGCCCTGGACCTGAGCGAATTACGGCAGGACGGACAAATGGTCATATCAAAACCCTTGACACTTAGTAATTGCAGACGAGTGAAAATCTTGTGTTTACAATCGCAGCGATGAAGTAGTGCAAATAAAAACCAGTCCAAAAAGGATGTGCGCACGAGACATTATAATAACAGCGTGCAAAATAAACACAAAGAATGGCCATATGAATGGAAGTATGGATGTGGTGGCAGATTAACAGACCAAAGACAAAGTAGGAGAGCTAAAGCAGAGCATTAGGTAAATGCTTTTACTCTTTTCCATCTGATCCGCAAAAACAAAAAGGGAAAAATCCACGAGACCACTTGCTTAACTATTTACTTAAATTAAATAATACCACAATATACAGCCATAGAAAAAATCAAGAGACTACAACACAATATTTTGTTTCACTCATTTTTCAATTTATGGGTGTGCAGCTGTGAATAATATGTACTTTTTTGCAAACTGCAGCCTGGTTCTCTGATTCTCCTTGATGCAGAGCTTTTTCCTTGCTTTACGGGACTTCAGTCCTGCTTCTAGGATCCTGATATGATCTGTCCTAGCAGTGCACTTAATGTTTACCATTCCTTTTGAAGGTCACTTGATCAATCAATCAATCAAAATAGTTTATTGATGTCATCCTCCGATTCATGAGAAACTGTCAGATAAGTTAGTTAACGGTCATCTCTGGCATTAGAAAGTCGCTTCCACATACTACCTGGCTGGTTTGTGGTCATTCCCAGTGTCTCCTAGTGCATCTTATTCTTGTGTCCTACTGTCATAGAAATGTTGAACCTGGAAGCAGCCTGCTGTTCAGTGTAACCTTCTGCCAGCAGAACCACGATTAAGCCAGGATTTAAAAATGCAGATTTGTTTAAAAATATAGGGCGGCCTCTTAATTTTTTCTGTGGCTGTGCGTGTGTGTATATATGAACAAACGTTTCCATGTCTCAAAAAGTTTTTTGAGATACAGAGATCAAAAGACTGCACGACTCTATCCTCCACTGACTACTTAACTACATTATCAAAGACCTCTTCTCTCGCAATGCTGACACTCTTAAAGTCACGTAACATTAAACTTAAAGCAATATGCAACTTACCGATTAAGCCATCACAAGTATATTTAGGCTCCTACACATTCCTTATTCAGGAGATGCTGATGCAGCATGTTCTGCTAGCCAGCTAATTAGCTACAATCTTCTGAATGTACTTGCTGTTAACCCACCCTTGCCCACGCTCACCCCATGGTCCTGCCGCACGTATGACGGCTAGAGGGTTGAACAGAGTGACAACAGACAACACGGCCTTCACCCAGCGAGGGAGCTTCGGCTTCTTGTCGTCTGCACCAGCCACCACGGGCTGTGGTCGCTCTGGGAAACCCCAAGGATCAACCAGGATCAAGTGGCAGACCCTGAAGGCGAGGGGACCAAGAAGCAAAAGGGAATCTGAGAGAGGGTGATTTTTTTTATACTAATTGCTTGTGTTCGATATTTGGGTTGTTTAACTGATTTATTACAATTCTACATATTGTTTTAGCATTTCTCAACTTTTCTGCCAATAAAACACATTTTAGCTACAGGAAAGAGGGAGAGATGTAATACAGGCAGCAATGCAGGCATCATAACACTGTCTTAAATATCTTTTCTGCTGCTCAGTGACGCCTGAAATGAAGAAGAGCAAGAGAAGTAGCTCAGGCTCACCTCTCAGGGTACTGAATAGCATAGGAGGTTGCCAGGTAACCGCCAAGGCTGTGACCCAATAATATCATACGTTCTAGGCCCAGGGCCCGCCTCCAGTGCTCGATGGAGCCAACGGACTTCTCTTCCGCCTGAGCTGCATCCAATGGGAAGGGAGGCCGGGAGCTGCGGCCGAAGCCCAGGAGGTCGAAGGCCATGACTGGCCGGGAGCGACACAGGGGGTCTAGGTTCCGAATCCAAAGCCCCACCCCTCCCCCAAAGCCATGGACCATCACCAGGGGTGTCTTAGACACTGGAGGAAAGGCAGCACTCAGCTTCAACTGGTTTAAGTCCCTTACTGTCTGGATCATAGCAGGATCTTCATAGAAACAGTCACACTACCTCATTTGATTATGATGGTTTTTACTTTGATTCTTTGTCATATATGCCAGAAAGAACAAACTCAGTCTCTACATGACAAAAACAGAAAGACAGGACACCCTACCAGGTCCTGCAGGTTTCAGAGAGTTCCTACTGGTTACTGTAAGAGTCCAGATCCTATCCTGAGTAGGAAGAGTGACAAAACGAGCCCAGAGATCATTCTGAATACCTAGACAATGAGAAAGGGGCATGTAGTGTTAGCTTGACTGCTTAAGACACATGCAAGGAGAAACACAAGACATGATTTATGTAGTCACAAGCTAACAGCAGCCCTGACAGAACACTGCCCCCCCCCCACCCCATGTAGCACTCTAGGTGATGATCACTGGCCCTGACTAGCTACATAAATCTTTCTATATTTACAGTGTTTGTAAGTGGTAAAGTGGAAAAAGTCCGTCATGGGCAAACAGCATTGTGCCTCACATAACAGAGTACTCATACATACACGTAAAAAGCAGAACCACCCTTTTAGGGCTAACGGCAATGAAGACACTGACACGGCATGCAGTCTCACAAAGCACATGAAAACATAGCTGAGACTCACGGGCAAGGATTTTCGCCTCTGTGCTCTTTAACAGTGACATGGAGGTCGGTCTCCAGGAGGGCCACCAACCCCACCCTGATTCTGACCTGGCCACGTTCATCAAATGTAGCATTAGCGCCCACACGGCAGCGGACATAGTTCAGTATGACACTGATATTCGCGGAGTTTCATAACTACTGTGCATTTGCCATTCAACAAGGCATAGTCATTACTGTGGTTGCGGGAACAGGACAAACCTACAAATATGGTTATATGCAATAAGAGCTTAGAAATGGATGGTAATGTGGCACTTCGAAAATAAAACAATCACAATTTTCCAGGACTAACACGGGTAAACTGCTAAACAGCGCCGCCTTGGGGCTCATAAAATAAAGATAAATAAAAACACAAGCGATTTCTTAAACACGTGTTTGCAGTACAGGAGAAAAATTCGCAAAATTTATTAAACATACCTAAAATTGTCTCAAATGAAACAAAATTCTTTATTGGAGATTAAAACAGTTGCGATACATGTCCATAGCTTTCCATGTTCGACTCGGACACTTACTCCTTATCAGCACCGTCATGCATCGCAATGCACCAGAGACAGCTCGTCAAAAGCTGTCACTCCTGCGAGACAGGCCTAAAAAGACATAAGTGCAGGATCTGTTTCATCTGATCAGTTGCGGTGTAAAATGAAAGCTACGGGCGTCCATGCCAGTGTTCTGTCGAGTTGAGCTACTTTTTCGAGTTAGGCTACCGTACGTAGTGCTAATCGATAGCCCTAACCCCCCAAAAAATTACCCTAACACCGTTACCTTTTAACCCCTAAAACCTAAACCTAATCCCAAAACGGTGGAACTGCACATGCGCAGAAAGGCTGGATAACACGTCTCGATAGGTAGCTCAACTCGTCAGAACACCAGGATTAACCTAATGACCCAGACTGCTGGCTTCGTAATGCGAGCAGTTCACGGACAACCCGGATAGAAAATGGGACACATATGAAAAAGCGATATGAAATGTTGCATATATCACTACGTAACCGCTAATAAACGCCCACCACGGGAGGGGATCGGGATGCCCTTAGAGTAATATTCTGCAAAATTACGTAACATATACGCCTTTCGGGCTCCAGCATTCGTCTAATGTTCTCTTTTGAATACTGACATTATCATTGTTATTGTTATTATTAAATCACATCTATCTGCAGTCGTGCACTTTTACCACCATGATGCATCATGCACTCGCTTTATGCCAGTCTCAATGATACAGCGTTATACTTTAATAAAAAAAAAAAAATGATATTTTTCCGGATCAGCAGTGACGGGGGGGTTCACGTTACAGGCACATTTCCGGGTTATTTGCGGAGCACGGCACCGGACTGCGGCTTCATATCCCCGAAATCCGCACCCCGGAGCCATGTCCAGCTCCGTGCTCTCCGTGATATCCCGCTTTTTGGAGGAATATGCCAGCAGCACGCCGAAAAGGCTGAAGATCGTGGATGCATACTTGCTTTACATTTTGCTAACGGGGGCGCTGCAGTTTCTCTACTGCCTGCTTGTGGGCACCTTCCCCTTCAACAGCTTCCTGTCCGGGTTTATATCGTGCGTAGGCGCCTTTATTCTTGGAGGTAAAACCCTAGTTATTTATTAATAAGTAGTTATTTATCAGTCTAAATCGTGTTATTACGTTATATGTAATTGCGTTCGAGTTTAATCGCCATTTCCCCCTTGCATGTTATTTTTTACGATCTCTCCGTTATAACATCACCGCTGCCATTGTGTAAAGGCACGCATCCATTTCTTTCTGTAAATGTATTAAACTGTGTTTCTTCCGGATTGTTGTTGTGCATCTCGGATGCTCCGCTCGGATACACTGCTATACTGCATGCGTAGCGCTACGGGTATCTCTCCCTACTTTTATCCCAAAAAGTGTGGGCCTTAATGTCTTTTCCGTTTTATTACACACGTTTACGAATATTTGTTGAAGTTTGTTCCGTTGTTTTGACGAGTTGAGCTACCTGTTGAGACGTGCTATCGAGCCTTTCTGCGCATGTGCAGTTCTGCCGTTTTGGGATTAGGGTTATGTTTTAGGGGTTAGGGTTAAGGTAAGGGTTTTTGGGGGGTTAGGGTTAGGGCTATCGATTAGCACTACGGTAGCCTAACTCGACAAAGTAGCTCAACTCGACAGGACACCTGTTCAGTGTCTGAGTAAGCTGTCTCAGAACATTTCCATGGTGCACGTCATGAATGCATAGTACATGACAGGTAATAGATGATAATAATAATAATAATCAATCCCGTGTCTCCCAGTCTGCCTGCGCATTCAGATTAACCCCCAGAATAAGGGGGAGTTCCTGTCCATCTCCCCGGAGAGGGCGTTCGCCGACTTCCTCTTCGCCCACACTGTGCTCCATCTGGTCGTTATCAACTTCATCGGCTAGCAGCCACGGTCTTACTTCGCCGATCCACAGTTTTCCATAAGGTGAGTGTATCCCGAAGGACGCAGAGTGCAAATATATTATATACCGGAGGTGCTGTCGATCCTGCCACAAGCAAAAGCTCAGTCAAGCACTACCCCGTTCTACCAGTGCTGCTGCTACGGCTGCGGCCTTCAATGTGGAGAAATAAGGGACGCCCAACTCCCCCAGGGTGATACTGTAACTTTTGGGGAAATCAGTACATACAGTCTGAAATGTTTTATTGTACAGCAAAATAACAAAAGCACTGACAACAGTTTCATATAAAAAGAAACACACACACAAAAAAACTGAACCCTAAACGTAGCACCCTGTCTGTCACAGACACAGAAAAATCAGTGACTGTAAACACTCCCTAGAAAATACATCTTATAGAAAAAAATTGTCTTTTTGTTTCTGTAGCAGCTGTTCAGTCATTGATTGCACTGGTTATTGCCTACTTTTATTGGTTACAGTACTCATAAGCTAACGTAGGCTTTAATGTAGTCAACGTACATTAATTAGACAACAACAATATACCATGTCTGCCTCAGGGGATGTCTGAGGTATCAGGACTCGAGCGATTCCACTCTGTGCCGCCTGCTCTTTAGCCGCTCAGACGTGGGCAGCACCTGCAGTGTGCCGTCTCAGGTCAGACATCCCTCCATGGGCGACCGGTAAAACTGGATGGCACACTGTATGGTTTGCCTTGTATTCGTCACCAGGGACGGGGCTGACCCTCTGATATGCTGTCGCGCATTCAGACCTATACTTCGACAGCTTCTGACGTTTCACGGCTGGGCTTGGGTTAGCCCTAGCAGACATGAATATATATTTAGGCTTCTTCACAGCTTTCAGCTGTGAAGGACAACCAGCGGTTTAGGGCTAATGGCAATGAAGACACTGACTTGACATGACAATCTCACAGGGCACCCGAAGCTTGTATAACTAATTTGACTTCAGTTTTTCTTATACTTTGCTCTTCGATGAGCTAGTGCAGGGCTCTTCAAATCTGGACCTCGATTCCAAATCCAGGCCTT